CCCCAGGGAGGGCACGCCTTACACTTTGAAAACCGCTGGGTTAGATAACACGTGATGACAATGGATTGGAAGAACTCCAAACAGAGGACACACTCAGGTGTGAAGAGGTTGTTTTGTCTGCCTTCACAAGATCAAATAAGCTTTTCTTTCTGTCTTGAGAATCGGAGGACTGTTTTTGTCTCTGACTTGTGTTGTTTACTCCGAGCATGAATAAGTCCCACTTGTGAGCCTACAGTAACACAGTAAGAGGATCCAAGCAGAATACCTCTGCTGGTGATAGCACATTCATACAACTGTCAGGACACAGGCCATCTGTAGATCCCTTTACCAAAAAGGCGTGAGATAACTAGCGCTCCAGAGCTCAGAAGAAAAGAGGGTTCCTTTCTCTCTGTCTTTCAAACGTTTAAAACAGATGCTATCAGGTTCACAGCTGGCTGGAGTCCTGGGCCAGATACCCTATCTACTGGCTTCTGTCCTCCTGCAGCCAACCTTGAAAATACATCATCAGGTGGACGTGGCAAAGGAGGCAAGAGACATTCTGGAAGGGATACAAATATCAAATGAATTTGTCAATGGGTGACACATAAATCCTTATGGTCAGTTTGCTAAATAGTACAAAAACATCTTAAAAGGTCCCATGTCATGGCCATTTCCACTGATCATAATTCCATTGTTGAGGTCTACTAGAATAGATTTATATTGTGCAATTTTCCAAACTCACATTGGTTTCTCATACAGCATCTCTGTAAACTACGTGTATTCACTGAATTTCACTCTCTGCCTTTAACGGCTCGTTATAGCTCCAATAGCTCCAGCCCCCACCCTCCCTGTGAGCACAGTGTGCTCTGATTGGTCGGGACGTTGTGAATCGCGCTGAGCTCCGTGGAGGTGTGGTTTCCTTGTTTAGCGATACACAGCGAAACACATCCAAACTACGGTATTCCTGAGCACACACAAAGTCACAGCCGAAGTAAAAACAATAAGTGTGGCTTGATATTGAGTAAGAAAAAGGTTGATAAACGCTGTGAGAATGGGTCTGCAGAGAGAATTTTGCCGCGATGCCAACTATCTGTTATCAGCCTGCAGCCAGGGAGGAGAGATCAGCAGAGCTGCATGCACTGAGTGTGTGTGTGAGGAAGTCCGTGGATTTGTCAATTTGGACCAATCAGCGGGGGCTTAACGTAACGGCTCGGCAGACGTAACGTAACGGCTCCACGGATTGGTCCATTTGGTTCCGGGTAACGCATGACATCATGCGGTACCCGGAAGAATCAATGGACAGTGACGTATCTCCAACGAGGCGTTTTGGGGAGGTATTTTCTGTGATAGAGTTTTACTTGCTACAGGGTGTACTTTGAGGTTTTGACTCNGACTGCGAGATAATGTTTTTGTAGAAATAATACATGACCTTTCTCTTTCTCAACTCGCTACTCGGAGGGAAATCGCTGTCATATGCCTTGTGAACACTCCGATAATGCCTCTCCACGTTACCTTTCTTTGGCAGAGCGACGCTTGCTTTACAAATAAGGCAAATAACCTTTGAATGTGACATCACAAAAATATATTCTTCCTCCCATTCTGGGTGGAAGTGGTATATTTTTAGCTTTTTGCTCGGTCCCGCACTCATTTTGTTTGTCTCTTATTTGCCTCTTAATTTGAGTTTTCCCGGCACTTCACTGATTTTGTCTCGCTTTGCATTCTGGGTTAACAGACTGGAAAGCGATAAGTCGCTTATTCTGTCAATCAAGTAAACTCCTGAATTAAGTGGCAAGTGGCCAAGGGAGGGAGTGTTCACAAGGCATATGACAGCGATTTCCCTCCGAGTAGCGAGTTGAGAAAGAGAAAGGTCATGTATTATTTCTACAAAAACATTATCTCGCAGTCTTAGTGTCGCCAACTCGTTTCTAACATGCAAAAAGACAAACAAATGCGTCTATGGTCGGTGTATTTTCGATCTTTCCAATCGAGACGAGATCTCTATCTCCCCCGTCTGTGTGCGAGGGGGCGGGCAGTTTACACACACGCGGCTGCTACATGCATGCAAGACACGGCGGCGGAGAGAAGCGCTCCAAGGTGTGGTTAAATGTTACCCGTCTTGAGGTGGACAATGCTCGTTGCCAATAGTGTTTAGCATATAAGGGCGGTAACACAAGCAATTTGTCTAACCATTTAGCAAAAGTGCACCACATTCAGACGGAGAAATGCACCGGGTTCGACTGTCTTTCTAGTAGCTCTGTAGCCCCATCCACGAGTAACGTTTCCACGTCAGAGTTAACACAATTATACAAACATGGGTTAATGATGAGGCAACAGAGTTATTTATTTTGTTAAAGTTTCAGCTATTCTGTTTACAATTCTGTTATCACATTATTTAATACGATTTGTTAAAACGTTTATTTTTATTTTTATGTGAAATATGTATTTAATTTAAATAAAAAGCAATGTTAGTATTGTTCACAATTTGTTTAGTCAGTTTAACCTATTTTTCTCTCCAAAAGAACCGATAAAAGTACCGTTAAAAGACCGGATCGATAAGCGGTATCAATAAAAGTAGTAGTACCGTTAAAACCTTAACGTTACCCATCCCTAAGTGTAAGTAACTTTTATATGGAGTCGAGAGAGAAAGATTTTTGCAGAATTCCAAGGGGACAGGCGATGCAAGAAATGCTTTTGCAACTATTCTTGCTTACTGATTCGGATTAAATATAAACACTTTCTTGTCTTGCTGCAGTTGGTTTTTCCAACCTGTTGCTAATCGTACATGTACACATATTCTGAACCACCTACGGTACTTAAGTTGACCGGGGCTCAAATTGACAAACTGTGCATAAAGCGGACCGCTGATGTGAATGCGAAATTCCAAAAGAAAAAGAGCAGATTTGGTGACATACCTCCCTTGTGACTTAAACTCAAATGGTCAGGGTCATTTATCTCAAATAGGGTCAGCTTTATTAACATGCATACAATAAATACATAATTGAAGCAATAAATAAATAATTGAAGCATTTCGCCTTACAAAATTCAAAATTGCTAGAGTTTATGTTCAGAGAGCTTATATTGAGTGCAGAGAAACAGTTTGATAAGGCAAAACAAATTAGTAATTTAATCAAAATTGCAATATGGGTTGTGGAGCTGCAGAGCAATCCGGGCCTACAAATCATATGCTATAAACTGGTACAGATCCTCATAAAAAAGACCCCACCATGATCTTTTTAGTATATTTAAGATTAACACATCTCTAGGTAAATTATATCTTTAAAAAAAAAAAGTAAAGCACTGGGGAAGAAAGGGAGAAATCAGAGTGAAGCACATATTTGAACTCTTTAAGGATAAGCACATATCAAGGGTTTAATCTTTCCTTTACTTTGACATACTGTACCTGTTCATATCCACATCCTTTTCTCTTTCCAGGATAAGGACTCTAAGATAGATTTCCTCCAGAAAGCGATAGATGTCGTGATGCTGGTGAGCGGAGAGCCCCTGGCGGCAAAGCCAGCGCGCATCGTGGCCGGCCACGAGCCCGAGAAAACCAATGAGTTCCTGCAGGCCTTAGCCAAGTGCTGCACCAACAAGGTCTGTGCACTCGGTAGAATACACACACAAACACACATATACACACTAATGAAGATAGAAACGGTGAATTAAAAGGGCTAAAATATCCCATGGTCATTCTGGAGAAACTAACATAGTAATGGCTATCCTGGTTAAGGTTCAGGGTGTGCTACATTAAAAGTATTTGACTCCTGGGAATATTGTCTATCCTCTTCAGGGAGAACTTGGACATATCCTAATTGAACCCTGGAGATAAAAGAGTATTAACAGATGAGCCGGTGCCTGAGGGATATTTGTTTGTTCTTTAAACAATATTTTAATTTCACATGTCAAATGTATGTACTCCTCTTAGATCTAATGCTACATTTTAAATATTTTATTTGTATTTCTCTGGTCACAATTGTAGTAAAGAAAGGGTTACAGGTTTTTCAAATGTTTTTGAACAACAGTTATTACAACCTGAGAAATACACAAGATTGCACATTTAGCTCTTAAAGTAGCTACATTTTTTTTGTTTTTAAATATTCAACCAACTGTAAGTATTGATATGTTCTGTGTTAAAATGAATGGTTTTCCCCACTTGATTGACAGTTGTCCAGTGACGATGCAGTGAAACGAGTGCTTGCAGGAGAAAAGGTGGACATAAAGACCAAAGCCGGCACCTCCAGGTCCCAGGACAAGGAGAACAGGGAGGGACGGGAACGCCATCCAGACAGAGAGGCGAGGGTCCTCTTCAGTCAGAGAATGCCATTTTGTTTGGCATTTGATGCTTGTGGTGATGTTTTCAGATGAAGCATTAATCACCCTAAACAAATCCTGAACAAAATCCTCAATTTGAACAAAGTGATTAATTGGAAAAAACACATTAATTAATTAAATGTCTTTCCAGTTTCATTAGATTACAGCAAGGTTAATACATTTGTTTTGAACAAATATTTAATGAAGCAGAATCATTTGTAAGATGAAGACATGTTGTTGTTATTGGCAATATTTATATTTTGTATATATCACACAAGTCAGAAACAACACTTTGCAGCCACCACTTGAATCCAACAAAAAATAGTATAATGCTAATAATATTAGCTTAGCATAAACTGTCCAGAAATACAGATTCAAACAAAACAAATACACAGGAAACAAATTAATTGTTTTGTTAACAGACAAACTGTTTGTTTCTATATTAGGAATTCAACATCGCTAAATCCTATATTTGATGTGAAATGTTCTGTCTTTGTTAGCATTTATCCTGTCGTAGTTTCAATTAGATAATTCAATTAAGATTTGTTTTTGTATCACTATGCAGCTGTGGATTGCACTTTTCATTAAATCCTCTAATCAACTACTTGTTGACTTTTGCAATTGCAGGAGAAGAAAACGATCACAGAGCGCAGCGGGAGCCGAGAGCAGAAGGACCCGGACCAGCCCAAAGAGCAGGAGAGACGCAGGGACGGGGACAGGGAGCGCTCCGACAAACACCAACGCACTGAGCAGGACCAACACGCCAAGGACAAGAGCCGGGACCGGGAGAGAGACAAGGAGAAAGACAAAGGACGAGTCAAAGAAAGGGACAGGGACAAGGAGAAGGAAAGGGATAAGGACAGGGAGAGGGACAGAGAAAGAGGGAAAGACAAGGAGAGAGACAAAGGCCGAGAAAAGGCGAGAGACAGGGATTCACACGGGGACCGGGAACGAGACAAGGAGAAGCGAAGAGACAGAGACAAAGAGCGGGAAGAGAGAAACAGAAGCGGAGAGAGCGGCAACAGCAAGGTGGGCTTTGAAGTGCACATCTTCTTTATTTTGTATTTACCGTATTTATTTACAAAACGACATAGCTTTCATACATTTCACAACTAACTAACTGGATCAGGTGCATACAACAAGACAGAAATAAACAAATGGAAAAACAAACAACACATTCATATATAAAATAAATAGTAATAGAGTAAATGCATAAAACGGCGAGTGCTTTTTGTGTAAATCATATTCTTATATTTTACAGATTTATTTTGCCTTCAGATTTTTATCAGCTTTTACATAAAGTTCAAACTCATTACGAAATACACAACATTTACAAAGAATAACAATATTGTTAACAAAATGTCTGATATGTGTGTAATGTGCATCTGTTGAGCGCTTTGAGCTCTGGAAATGCGCTATGATAAATGTAAGGAATTATTATTATTATTAAAAGTCATTCCATAAATGATGTCCTTTTGAAAAATGTTTTGCACTCAAAAATCCTTTGGGTAAATCTATTCTAATTCTAATTTAGAATATATACATTTAAGAAAAATGTGCTGATTTGTTACAGCATCATCAAAGATCAATACATAGAGCTTTGGTTATTGAAATATATCACAGCTGATAATAAAATCTCTTCACTTGGATCTTAAATGTTAGCAATTGCATTATTTACATCCTGTGTATTCATTTTGACCTAGGCCAGAGTATCAGAGGAGCCACAGCAGAAACCCGTCCCTGAGCCCAGCAAAGCAGCCAAACCTGTGCCACTGGTGAGTTTTCTGTTTGGTATACATTTCACACATGATATCAAGTCTATCATTTCATGTTGTCATCTTCAATCATAGTGTGGCAGTCTCGTTTTGTGTATATTATTAACTCAACCAATGAAAACAAATTTAAGAGTTGGTCACATGTTCAAATAAACATCATATGCAGTTTGTAAAAAGTTTAAATGTCCTTTTTCATGTTGTGCCTCTTATTTTTGCAAGGACCCCGAACCAGTTGACGAGGTATTCAATATACAAGCAGTAGAAAAATAGAGCTATGCAGTTTATTGCATTGTGTTGCTAAAATGTAGTGATAATTGCAATGGTTTTTGGGTGGCTTCTTAGCTTAGCGCACATTTTGGCAATAATGTGTAGGAGACATGTGAAAGGTTTTTCCTTTCCTTATCTGTGTACCGTAATTGATCAATGCAACTGTGCACATTATAATACTGTGTGTTTCCCTGTGCAGCCTGCAGAAGCAGTTGAGAACCAGGTAAGAACTTACTCTAAAAATCACAATTTGCTATATTGCCGGCTCTGCTTTGTTGCTATTTTAAGGCTATTGTTATTGTTTTTTTTATTACATTTCAATAGTTGTGTATTTTTACTATGACACTTAAGGACATGTTTATTTGTAATATTTCAATGTATCCAGCATGTTTGGCTATATTAAGTAGGTTCTTACTGTTTTTCCATTTCATTTCAATATGTTGTTATTGTACTGTGTTTATGCAGCATGTTTGGCTTGGATTGGATTCGTATTATTATGTATTTATTTTTCATGAAGAGGTCTGTCTGTATTCATAGTTTAATTGGTCTATACTGAGAGGAGAACATGATTTTGGCATCACCAAATCCTCCAAATAGATAATGAGTGATGTGTTTCTTTTCTGTGGTTATGGTCCTAAGTTATATCTTTTATGGTCCTAAAGTTTTATCTTTCTCCTGCTTGTCTTTTCCTCCTCTTACAGTCTGGCAGTCCAGCTAGAATACCTCGGCCTTCATCTGCCAAAGGGCAGAGGAGGAGACCCAAAATTGGAGGTCAAGGTAACCCCCTTCCAACTCTTTACTCCCCCAGCACCCTATTTGAAACACCAATGAGGCATATCTCACATAGTTACACAGATATAATAACATCACTAATCATTGACAGAAGGGCTCTTTAGAATGTTCAAATAGATTTCACAGTTGACAGCTTCCTATTGGCTCTCCACCTGTCTAATACAATCACTGACTAGTTTCCTTAGTGGGAGGTAGGAGTGACTAATCCAGATTACTGTTGGCAGAAGCAATAAAAGCTTCATAGAACAGACATTAAGAACAACTTTTCAAGAGAAACACTATCAGTTTGTGATGTGTTTATCACACCTGCATGTCACATTACTCTATAATGATAGTTGTATTAGAAAGAAAACTAACAACGTGCCTTGTGTTTCCCTGCTCTCTGACAGATGAATCTGACAGTGAAGGAGGTAATTGTTCTTTAATCATCTCCCTTGTGTAGTTGCATACACTAAAAGAATATAAAGGTTTATACAATTCAAACATCATTTTGTATGTGGAAATGCTGTTATTATGATCGGAGGGTTTGTGCACTTGATCTGAAATGCATTTTGATGACTGCTGCGGGGTAGGTTTTAATAATGAAGGAGAATATTAAAAGTGATCTCTGGCATAAATGAACTAAATAATCCATATTTGTTTGATTATGAACTAAGCAATCTATTAACTCAGTACTGAGTGACTCACTCAGTGATTTAGCAACATTCTTTTGTTCAACTGTTTGAGCAAGTCAGTCAAGTTTATGTGTAAACCCAATATCGTAACAACTCCTCAGGGCGTTTACAGGCTTGCGGTTCCAGACCCAGCCCGAACACTCCAGAAAGACGAGTACAACTTGTCATAGAAACCTTTAGCACAGAAAGGAAAAGGGAAGACATCTTTGTAGGGCTGCTCAATTAATCGTATGTTAATCGCGATTACGATTATGGCTTGCAACGATTATGAAAACAACGTAATCGCAATAAACCGATTATTTTTAAATTAATTTTTTGTTGTTGTGGTTTTTCAGTTGAGTTAGACTTAAAGTTCAGGGTAATCAACTTGTTAAAAACATACTGTTCACATTTTTTTTCTCCAATAAATAGATGTTTTCAAAGTCAATGAATAATCGCATTTAATAATCGCAATTACAATTATTGACCCAAATAAACGAGATTATGATTTTTGCCATAATCAAGCAGCCCTACATCTTTGGATACAATTCCCCTCCTCACAGTCAGCTGCCCAAATGAATAGTTGTCGTAGGCGGGTAAAGCACCTGTTTCATTCAAGTTAAAGGGGACAGTCACTCCAAAATACACACGTTTCTCTTCCTTGTAGTACCTGTAGTTTTGGTGTGAGTAGCCACAAGTGTTGGAGATATTGTACGTAGATATGACAGACTTCTCTACAATATAATAGAACCAGATGGCACTCAGCTTTTTTAAACACATGAGAAACTCAACAGCAATTTTCTTTTTACTGAACTCCCCATGCCAAAGGTATCCCAGCAAAGAAGGACATGTGCATCTTCTTAGCTAGCTAATGTGAAATCTCAGCCAAGAAGGACACAATTCATCTTTACATCTCAAGAGCATTAGCCTCTGGTCAGAGTAGATGCACGCTTCGGCTGACAGTTGTACTTTGGTAGAAAGAAAATAGTTCCTGCATGAAAGTGCTCACACTAAGTCTGTTGATTATCTGGAGAAATCTTGATTTCTGGAAAGACGCATTGCTGTTGAGTTTCTTAATTGCATGTTTTTATAACTCTGAGCACCTCAAGTCGAGTCTAATTCTTTGCTACATTAAGCAAATCTCACCACAAGTTATTGGTCTTCTTTTTCACAGATGGAGAGGCTCTGTTAGTCCAGAGAACTGCCCCCCTTGAAAATGGAGACACTACAGTTCCATCAGACGTGGCCTCCAGGTCTGTACAGACAACGCTGAACTTACTTACTTACACAGACATAACTCATCACTTACTAAAAACACAGCTCCCGTTAACTGTTTGTCTCATATCTCACTCGTTAAAAGGCTCTTTCATTTATGTCAAAGATGTACATAAACCAGGCTAGATCAAATATGAGGAAGCCTTTTTTAAATAATACATTTATAAAGCACATGGTGTTTTTTTGAGAATGCTGACATGTTAATTCAGTTATTGGATCATTTCTGATGTTGTGTCTTCAGGTTGTTTTTGCATTGCATTTTATTGCTTTGTTGATTTAAGTTCAAGGGTAGTTTTGAAACTTTTGTTCCTGGCCCCGATCCAGGATCAGTTCCAGTAGATCACACATTTGAATATTTTGGATGATTGTAAATGTTCTGTTGTCTAACTGACTAATCAGTGACGAATGATTGCCTGGCAGCAGTTTTACAGTTAGTAATGCTGTGAACGTTTATTGTTCCAAGCAACAATTATCATTCTGGAATCTGAATCGGTCAGATTAGCCGTCACATAATTTATGTTTGGCAAATAACAGGGAGATGTTAACAGAGGATTTGGCTGGAATAGAAATCAAGAAAAAAAACATAATTGTTTAAACAAAATGAAACTGACTTGTTTAAGTGCAAACATATTTAACTCCAAAACAGTTAGTTGAACCTGTCATTCCAGTAATGTGTGTAATCCTTTCCATCAACGGCAACAGGAGAATACCTCGGCCCAGCAGCGCCCGCCCCGCCCCGCCCCGAGTCAAGAAACAGGAGAGTTACTCTGAAGTGAACCCAGCTGAGAGGTGACTGCATCACAAATACTCGCTTATGTCACAAGTCTCATTTCAAAATCCTCCTGTTCGATGTGGGTTCACATGTTGCCTTTTCTGGTAGAAAAGCCGTATCACCGCTGTCGTCTGACAGACTACCATTGCACCCTTGGATTTTATCATCTGTTTTGCTACTATATATCTGTTAAAATTCTTGCCAGGGTTATTGAAAACCTGGAAAAGTCATGGAAATTCAAAATGAAAATTCCAGGCCCTGGAAAAGTTATGGAAAACAATATTTTTCCCAAAGTTTTGGAAAAGTCATGGAAATGTAACTAAAGTTGCGTCAAATATAACTTACATTTAACCTAATCGCCGAAATAATCTGCGGTCGTGAGCTGTTATGTGCCATCATGACACGCATGATGTTATTTTTTAATATATGAAGCATGAGCTGTATGCTTGAGTCTTCCTGCCTGTCGGCTGAACTCTGCTGCTCCGCAATGAGGGTCTAACTCCAGCAGCTACATTACCTACGGTGCGTTCGTTAACAGTAACTGTGCGGTCCGGAGTCACTGTGGCACAGACTGGACCGCTGGTGAACAGCTGTTAGAACGGGCCGTTCAGGTGTTCAGAGCAGAGCTCCGTACAGAGCGTGATGTGAACTGAAAGGTTTTTCTGTCGCAAAATTTAAGGAATCGTTGAGCTAGCTAACTAGCATACATTGTCCCTATCTGCTAATGTTAGCTTTAGCCTTCGTTTTCTAATAGTTTTTTTTAGAGATGTCCCGATCCGATCACGTGATCGGGGATTGGAGCCGATCACGTGATTTTCAAAAGATCGGAATCGGGACAAAAAAATCGGGGATCGGATTTTTTCTTCTTCTTTTTTTTCTTCTTTTTTTATTTTTTTTTATTCAATGTTACAAAACAAAAATGACCATGTTCAAGTCTTAAAGTCATCCTGAGGCCTTAGTTTTGGTTTCAAATTACACAACATCATGTATGTGTTGCTTCTTTGGGGCTTGTTTTCATAGACCTGGTTGCTTATTTCTCCCAAATCTGGCAACAGAGTGGGCAGGGCGCAGTGTCTAATTGTAGCAGTAAGCTAACGAGTACTGACAAGCTTTATTTTGTTTTGATCCAATACTGCACAACTGAACTGATCCAATGCTGCTGTGAAAAAAATAAGCTATATCCATGTTGGATAGAATATCAAATTTAAATAAAAATATAACCTTAAGGGACAACTTGAATGTTTTTTTTCTCTTAATGCATTGCATAAAGATCGGATCGGGAAAAATCGGTATAGGCAAATTGTCAAAATCAAATGATTGGAATCGGATCGGGAGCAAAAAAAGGTGATCGGGACATCCCTAGTTTTTTTCATAGGCTATAAAAAGAGGTTGTATAAGTATATTGTACTAGAGAAAAAGTAGAAGTACTCAGATCTTGTACTTGAGTAAAAGTAGAAGTACTCAGATCTTGTACTTGATTAAAAGTAGAAGTACTCAGATATTGTACTTGAGTAAAAGTAGAAGTACTCAGATCTTGTACTNAGTAACCCATGTCCATATATTTTTTCTGGGGTAGTAGATTTAAAGTTTAGGGCTATCACTATGGGCAGCAACGCTGTAAATATTGACAAATAAATCCAGGAAAATGGCACAAATGAAAACTGGTAGTGGCCTGGCTGGATGCATAATTCCCGGCCTGACTTATTGTCCCAGTCCGGCCCATGCCCAAATGGACCAATCCGCGGAGCACCTCACACACCAGGATCCCTTGGCTAACTACAGGGAGTCCCATTGACTTGCATAGTGCTCCCTGAACGCTGGTAATAGACGAGTTGGGATTGCGGAGAAATGCTCTCCACAGACCTATTCTCACAGGGTTTATAAACCTTTTTCTTACTCAATATCAAGCCACACTTATTGTTTTTATTTCGGCTGTGAGTGTTTGTGTGTGCTCAGGATTAGTTTCGCTGAGTCTCACTGTATTGCCGACCCGGAAAACACACCGCCAGCGACCTCACACTGCAGCATCGAGCCTCGCAACGTCCCGACCAACCAGAGCACACTGGGCTCACAGGGAGGGAGGGGGGGGGGCAGGAGCTCCAACAAGCCGTTTAAGACAGAGTGAAATTCAGTGAAGACACATACTTTACAGAGATGCTGTATGAGAAACCAATGTGATTTTGGAAAATTGCACAATTTAAATCTATTCTAGTAGACCTCAACAATTGAATGATGATCAGTAGAAATGGCCATGATATGGGACCTTTAAAACAAATCCATAGTTTAAGCCAAAACTATTTGCATTTCTGTTTCAAATCTGGAGGTGAAAAGGTTAAGATGTCCTGTACAGTAAGTTCGACAATGATATCTGGGTTATTGAGAGGCTTCCAAACACGTTTTATGCTTTGGCTTGAACAGCACAACGTAAATAAAATCATCGTACATGCAGTCCAAGTGAATTTCACATCTTTGTTAAGAGATCATGAGACGGATGACCTTGCTGTTTTACTGCAAATGTCAAATGTCATCTCCCAATGCTGTTTGTTTCCCACCCAGATCAAATTAGGACATATATTGATTTCTGACTTAATTGTGCATGAGTGGCACATTTCAATCAATTACTCAGTCTATGTAAAGCATACTGTAATAGATAATGTTTGCCATAGGCTACTGTTACTAACTACAAGCTACAGACCAGCGTCAAAGCCTTGCAGAAGCATGGACAGGGTGATATTAAATACATGTCTGTTTATGTTAGTATCAAAGTCATATTTGCGAAGTACAGAATATATAAGAGACACATAATATGATGTTTCAACATTATCGCTAAACTGTTAGACAGTCTTGGTATTACAAACTGAACCACTGGAAAGTGAAGAGTGAACTGTATACATTTATTTATGGTGTATTACACAGATATAATGATGTGTTGAACAAAGATGTCCAAGGCTTTGTGCTCCAATCATACTGTAGAATCCTTATCCGTTGCTTTATTTAGCACTGGGAAGTGTATGACATTTCCTGGTGTGAAACCAAAACACCCCTGCTCTTCTCAATGCTCACCGTAAATTGAACACTGCCTGTAAAGTACTGCATACCACCAAAAGATTTATCGGGTAAAGGAGAAAATATAGGCGTGATACAATGTGTTAGTAGGTAGTTACGTACGTACGTATTTTTTTAGTACTATCACTTTTTTACGTTAGCTAATATCTGCCTAGGACCTTTACACTTGTATCAAAAATGAATGTTGTGTCTGTTGTGCAGTTTGTCGGTACAAAATGTGTTTTTTTTTTGTTTACCTGCAAGGCATGCCATGTTAAGGGCACTTAGCTTTTCAGACCAACACAAAAATACTCATTCAACCTTGCAGTCTGCACTCTCAGAATTTTTGGATCACGTGGGAATCAGACCTTGGCCTTCATGTTTTATGTCAAAATACCAAATAAGGCTGAGTAGGTAATGTCCTTTAGCAATATTTTTAATAACAATTATAAAAAGACCAGAAAAATGATTTTTTTCCATATCTGATAATCTAGTCTGTAGTATATGTAGGACTTCTTCAGTATAACCAGTTGTCATTTCGGAGGATGGAGTGATGATGTGGCAGGGTTAGGGTTTATACAAATAAGCATAACCCTATCTTGCATGGCTGAGACATTCTGCACTTCCCTGAGGGGGGGCAGCATCAATGCCGCGCCATCACCCCTGTCACCCAATGGTGGCGAGTTTCAAGGAGCGCTGTGCCAATTATTCATGTAGTATACATTAAGATTGCAACACACGTAAATGCATAATGTATCACTTTTTTACTTAAGGGAAAACAATAACAGTATTGCTCTGCATTTTTTACAAGGACTTTTGTAACCTCTTTTCACTTTTACTGGACATTAATTTTCAACGTAAACTGAAAAAAGTGCTAATGCATATGCCGCATAAAACTGAACTGCATTCAAAGTGATCAGTACTTTATGGTGATGTGAATGACTGGCTATCAACATGTTTTTTTTTGTTCTCTAACCTTGCTGTTTGAGGAAGGTCTGGCTGAATATTCATGCTCTGTCATACTCAATATTTAAATGGGCACACTCATTCATAACCGGAGGCTTCCGTTTCAACCACAACTCTGTGGCCACATACAGTGGCGCAAAAAAGTATTTAGTCAGCCACCAATTGTGCAAGTTGTCCCACTTAAAAAGATGAGAGAGGCCTGTCATTTTCATCCTAGGTATACCTCAACTATGAGAGACAAAATGAGAAAAAAAAAGCCAGAAAATCACATTGTCTGATTTTTAAAGAATTTATTTGCAAATGATGGTGGAAAATAAATATTTGGTCAATAACAAAAGTTCATCTCAATACTTTGTTATATACCCTTTGTTGGCAATGACAGAGGTCAAACGTTTTCTTTAAGTCTTCACAAGGTTTTCACACACTGTTGCTGGTATTTTGGCCCATTCCTCCATGCAGATCTCCTCTAGAGCAGTGATGTTTTGGGGCTGTCACTGGGCAACACAGACTTTCAACTCCCTCCAAAGATTTTCTATGGGGTTGAGATCTGGAGACTGGCTAGGCCACTCCAGGACCTTGAAATGCTTCTTACGAAGCCACTCCTTCGTTGCCCGGGCGGTGTGTTTGGGATCATTGTCATACTGAAAGACGCAGCCACGTTTCATCTTCAATGCCCTTGCTGATGGAAGGAGGTTGTCACTCAAAATCTCACGATACATGGCCCCATTCATTCTTTCCTTTACACGGCTCAGTCTGCCAAGGCACAC